TATATCCATATAAGTTGGTATAATGTATATAATTTTTATTGATTATATGAAACTCATATATTCATAGTATTATTACATTCTAATATATAATTATATAAATATAGTAATGATTATCTGATATATAATTATATATCCCATTATAATTCAATAAGTATTTATTAAAAAGTCGATTTTAACGAAATTTTTGGACACCAAAATCGACTTAATAATTTTGACTGATGTTAATTTTTCTTTAGTAGAAATTGGGTGTCAAAAAAGTGCAAAAATTTGGTAATCCTGAAAAAAAAGGCTGAAAAAAATTAACATCAATATTACAATTTAAAACAAATTTAAAAAATTGTCAAATTTAATTTACCCAAAAAGTTTTAATGAAGTGCCTGAAAAAGTATTATTTTGATTGAATAAATCATGTAAGCAATTAGCTTCATTATATTTGGCAGAATTAAACTACCCCCTAGAGTATCAAAAACCCTAATACATCRTATACTAAAATATAAAAAGATCAGCTAAATAAGCTATTAGGTTCATACCCTGTAAATGAAAGTAAAACCTTTCTCTTTTTAATAAAAATATATAAAATTCTATTTATTAACTCAATAATCCTGGGAACCCTAATCTCGATTTCATCATATTCCTGACTMAGAATATGAATAGGACTAGAAATTAACTTGTTATCGATTATCCCCCTATTTTCGAATAGCAAGAACACCTTCTCGTCAGAATCGTCTCTAAAATACTTTATCACCCAGGCAATAGCTTCATTAATTCTCCTAATGTCAATTCTATTATTACTTCTTACCAACGAATTTATTCATCCCCTAATAAATTCTAGGTTAAAAATAATAATAGACTCAGCTTTATTAACAAAGCTAGGAGCTGCACCTTTCCACTTTTGATTCCCCGAAGTAATTGAAGGATGAATTAACTCATGAATTCTCTTGACCTGACAAAAAATCGCCCCATTCATATTACTTATAAACAACAAAACCAGATCCAATATACTAATACAAGCAATTACCACATCTCTGGTAATCAGAACTGTAAATAGAATAAATCAAATCAGAATACGAAAAATCCTGGCTTATTCCTCAATTAATCATATCGCCTGAATGTTATCAACACTAATAATATCCCTTTCTGCATGAATATTTTATTTCCTAATTTATTCAATTATCAACACTAATATCATCTACATTCTTAACTTAACAAAAACCTTTTTCATTAATCAAATAAACAACCTAATTACCCAAAACAAGCTAGTAAAATTTACTTTCCTTACAAACTTTTTTTCACTAGGAGGGCTACCTCCTTTCCTTGGATTTTTGCCCAAATAGTTAGTAGTCAACTGATTAGTTAATAATCAAATAATAATTATTGCAATAACCATAATTGTAATCACACTAATTATAACTTGTAATTGTAACTAGTGCAATGGATTTAAACCCCATATATAAAGTTCAATACTTTTTTTTAGAAATAGCAACCTGGAAACTACTAATATTACAAGATAGATTTTCACCATTAATAGAACAACTATCGTTTTTTCATGACCACACCTTACTTATTCTAGTAATCATTACTATTTTAGTAAGACAAATAATAGCTGGACTATTTGTAAATAAACTAACTCATCGATTCCTCCTTGAAGGACAAACAATTGAGCTAATTTGAACAGTACTACCAGCGATTACCCTGATTTTCATTGCTCTACCATCTCTCCGATTAATTTACATTCTAGATGAAACAAACAATCCGTCTATTACAATTAAAACAATCGGACATCAATGATACTGATCATATGAATACTCAGACTTCAAAAACATCGAATTCGACTCATATATAACACCACTTAATGAAATAAATAACTTCAGCTTCCGTCTACTAGACGTAGATAACCGAATGATTATTCCATTTATATCACAGATCCGAATACTAGTATCAGCAGCTGATGTTATTCACTCATGAACTATTCCATCATTAGGAGTAAAAATTGATGCAACACCAGGACGATTAAATCAAACTAGATTCATCTCAACCGGATCAAGATTAATATACGGTCAATGTTCTGAAATTTGTGGAGCAAATCATAGATTCATGCCAATCGTAACAGAAAAAATCTCCCAATCATATTTCATTAAATGAATTTCAAAAATGATTCAGTCCTCATTAGATGGCTGAAAGTAAGCACTGGTCTCTTAAACCACATAATAGTAAACTAACAACTACTTCTAATGGAACCCCAGCACTGGTCTCTTAAACCACATAATAGTAAACTAACAACTACTTCTAATGAAACCCCCCTTCCCCCCCCCCAAAAAAAACTTAGTTAAATAAAATAACATTAGTTTGTCAAACTAAAGTAAACATAAAAATGTTAGTTTTTTATCCCTCAAATAGCTCCATTAAATTGATTATTACTTATGATTATATTCATCATAATCATAGTCTCATTCAACCTAATCAACTTCTATTCCTTTTCTTATAATACACAAAAATCATCTACCTCAACCCACCAAAAATATCAGACTAATTGAAAATGATAGCAAATTTATTCTCCTCTTTCGATCCTTCAGCTAACTGAAATACATCAATTAATTGAATAAGAACAGTAATTGGAATTCTAATTATCCCTCCCTCATTTTGAATAGTACCATCCCGAAATATCATTCTATGAAATAAAATTACAACAACTCTTCACAAGGAATTCTTAACATTACTGGGACCACAAAACAAAACCCTTACAATAGTGTTCATTTCTTTATTTAGAATAATTTTATTCAACAATCTCTTAGGATTATTCCCATATATCTTCACTAGAACAAGACACATAGTAATAACTCTTTCACTTGCATTACCATTATGATTAACCTTTATACTATTTGGATGAATCAATAATACAATTCATATGTTCGCTCACCTCGTTCCCCAAGGGACACCCCCTGTATTAATACCTTTCATAGTATGTATTGAAACAATTAGAAACGTAATTCGCCCAGGCACTCTGGCTATCCGACTATCTGCAAATATAATCGCAGGTCATTTACTAATAACTATACTAGGAAACACTGATACATCAATATCAATATACATAATTAACATTCTAATTATCATCCAAATTCTACTCCTAACACTAGAATCAGCCGTAGCCATCATTCAATCATATGTATTTGCCGTTCTAAGAACTCTATACTCAAGAGAAGTAAACTAATGATACATAAAAACCACCCCTATCATTTAGTAGATATTAGACCATGACCTATTATAGGATCAATCAGAGCTTTAATCACTATATCAGGAATCATTAAATGATTTCATATATTTAATAGCTCATTACTATTAATCGGAATATCGTCAATATCGATAATTATATATCGATGATGGCGAGATATCTCCCGAGAAGGAACTTTCCAAGGTCATCACACATTTATTGTAACAATAGGACTTCGATGAGGAATAATTTTATWTATTACATCTGAAGTATTCTTCTTCATTTCATTTTTCTGAGGCTTCTTCCATAATAGATTAGCACCAACCATTGATATTGGAATAAATTGACCCCCTAAAGGTATTCAAACATTTAATCCAATCCATATTCCACTTCTTAATACCTTAATTCTATTAAAATCAGGATTAACAGTCACTTGAGCACATCACAGATTAATAGAAAACAATTTCAAACAAGCAACTCAAGGCTTCTAGGGCTATATTTCTCTATCCTTCAAGGATACGAATACTATGAATCCTCATTTTCAATCTCTGATGCAGCCTATGGCTCATCATTTTTTATAGCAACAGGATTCCACGGTCTTCATGTCATTATTGGAACCACATTTTTACTAGTATTTAAACAATCATTTTTCCCAGGTTCACCATTTCGGATTTGAAGCAGCCGCATGATATTGACACTTTGTTGATGTAGTGTGACTATTCCTTTACATTTCAATCTACTGATGAGGTAGTTAAATTTATATAGTATAAAAATTATATTTGACTTCCAATCAAAAGATCTATAAAAAATAGTATAAATAATTCAGATTATAATTTACTCAGCAATTCTAATTCTAACAATCAGAATAATCCTTATTTTAATATTAAACCTAACATCAAAAAAATCAATCATTGACCGGGAAAAAAGATCACCATTTGAGTGTAGATTCGACCCAAAATCATCTACCCGACTACCATTTTCACTACACTTCTTCCTAATCGCAATCATTTTCCTCGTTATTGATGTAGAAATTACCCTTCTTTTTCCCCATATTATCTCTCTAAATTTTAATAGAATAATATCATATATACCAACCTTAGTTGAAATACATTGATTTAGAGCGATTTCTGGTTTAAAATCGAGCCAAATCGATTAAAATTTGTGTAAATTGTATTATAGTGGCTGAAAACGGCTATTTAAACACGTATTGTGTTGAAATGCATTGATGTGTGATGTTTTCTAGCATAAAATCCAAGAAAAGCTGTTGGAATAT